AAATAAATAATCAAATATCAAAATAATTTTAAATTACAATTATAATATAACACAATTCAATATAGTCATAACTACAATTACAATATAATACTTCATAAATTCAATATAGTCATAACTACAATTACAATATAATACTTCATAAATTCAATATAGTCATAACTACAATTACAATATAATACTTCATAATATATAATCTTAAATGCATCTTAAGTCTCCTTGCAGAGGATAAAGTTGTGAAGCCATCAAGTCAGCACAAGCATTACCTTCTCTATAAACATGTTGCACTTCACAGATCCAATCTCCTTGGATAAAAATAGTAGGATTTGAATTGCGAATTTGCTTATGATAACTTAAAAGATTGTTAAGGTTATACAAAAATAATATAAGTATATTGAATTTGATTGTTAAAAATATTAATAGTTATAATTATTAATTGATAATAAATAAAATAACTAATTTGTATTATTTAATAATTTAAAATTAACATAAAAATTAATGTTTTTAAGTGCTTTAACATCTATAAATTATTTAAATTAAACATATTTACTGTATTTGTGTGACCATAACAATTAATTATGTTGCCATGACATGGCCCTTGAATAGGTTATCATTCTGTATCTTCGAGAATAATGTTAAACTTTTTATTTCACTTTTATATCCTAATTCTATTACAAAAAATTTTCACTTTCTAATAAAAAAAAAAATAAAGGTAGATTCCTAATACACCTTAAAGTATTAATGTCACTTAAAATATTGTTTTTTTACTTTTATATTCCCCTAATAATAAGTTTCTGAAAACATTATATTTATCAACTTTCTATTTATTCTTTGGTAAAAGGGAAAATATTATATAAGTTAAATGTTAATTTTAGTCCCTCAATATTATTGAGTTGTCTTTTTTTTTTGTCATTAAACTATTTTTTGCACTTTTTTGATCCCTCAACTCTAAGAAGTGTATAAATTTTAGTCCTTTTGTCAGTTTAAACCGTTAACTCTGTACATGTAACATTTTTTATATTTTTTTAATAACATGGATAATCCAACTGGAAAAAATGATGACATAAACAATCCAACTAAAAAAATGCTTACGTGGTGATATTAAGAATTATACAACAATATTAAAAAAAACCCATTAATTTATATAATTAAAATTATTAATTATAATTAAACTTGTACCAAACCAACATAATCTTTTTTATTGCACTAAATCAAAATGAAATCTATCAACAAAACCAAAAGCAAGATCTAATAAAGTTCTCTCTTCAAAATTTCTTTTTCGACACCGATGATTACCCTACAACAAAACCAAATCAAAACCTTAAAAATTCATACTACTCCAATCCAGCTTAATGATCACATATTCACAAGAGAACTAGCCAAACCAAAACATATAAACAAAATTTTACAGCATTCATAATACTAAATTGCCATCCCACAACCACAAAAATCTATCAAATAAAAGGGTTCAATATATGCATATAAATTGCTAGAGTTACTAAACAGAAAAAATCTATAAACATGAGTTTGAAAACCCAAAAATTTAGGTTCCTTCAACCCATGTTGCTGGGTTCCATGAAACCTAGAACTGGGTTCAAACAAACCCAAATTGTGGGTTTTGCAAAACCCATATCTAGGTTCAACTGAACCCAGATCGTTGGGTTCCGTGAAACCCAGAATTGGGTTCCGCGAAACCCAGAATTGGGTTCAAACGAATCCAACATTTTGGGTTCAAACAAACCCAGTAGTCGGAGGAGGAAGAAAGAGAAAGCAAGAGGGGGAAGAAAAGAAAGAGGGGGGAGAAGGTTCCATGGATCCTAGCTTTGCTAGGTTTGGTCAACAGGAAGACGCAACAGTAGGAGGAAGAAAGAGAAAGAAAGAGGGGCCAAGAGGTTTTTTTTTTCATTAAAAATATAAAAATTTATTTGATGTGGTATTTTATTTATCCATGTCATCATTTTTTCCAGTTGGATTATCTATGTCATCAAAAAAATATAAAAAATACCATGTGGATGGAGTTAACAGCCTAAATTGATGGAAGGACCAAAATTGTGCACTTTTTAGAGTTGAGGGATCAAAAAAGTGTAAAAAATAGTTTAGGGACCAAAAAAGTGCAACTTAATAAAGTTGAGGAACCAAAATTAGCATTTAACCTATTATATATTTAAGTGACTTGGTGAGTTGGTGTGGACACTTCAGGGTGTGAAAATAATACCTTACATGCCTAGACACAGTATTAAAATACTCCTTTTTTAATGAATTAGGGGTAAATATGGGATTTTAAGCACTAATAATTATGATGATCATGCATTTTTTTGTCTATTATCATATCAACTCAAATTAAAAATTTATCTTACGAAAGTTAAGTAATTTAAGTAACCACCTAAATATTGTTAAAGGACATTTCCCCTCCCCCTAATTGCCATGTTAAAAAAAAAAAAAAAAAAACCTATAAATCTATCTTATTGCTTCTTTCCATTATATCTATCATTTTATAACTAAATTATGTCTCAAAATTTTTTTTTGACTTTTTTTTGGCTCAAATTTTAACCATGTTATTAAAACAAATAATTCACTTCATTACGATTTTTCTTTCATACTTATCTCAACAATAATTGACAAAAGAATTATCATTGTCAATTCGTTTATATTGTTTAATATAGGCAGTAAAAAAGATAGAGAGAGAATTTTTTTTTTTTTTGGGTGAATAGATAGAGGGAGTATTGATAGGGGTTAATGAACGCGAAGCTATTGCACTTGAGCTACGAGCCCAATTGGGTTGATAAGTGCATCACCAGGCTTTGGACTTGGTTCCATACCCTCCACTACAAATTTGTAACATGTTCCCAAAATAATAATAATAATAATAATAAATCTCTAATATAGATTTTGAAAATATATATTATTTATATTTTCTATATTAATCCTGACACATTATTCAAGGGAAGACTAAACTGGAAGTGCAATAATTTTCCATTTTCTCCTCACCATGCACTGCTTGCTTGCAATAATTTAGTTCCTATTTCGGCCTTTTCCTCATCCTTGCTCATCTTCTCATTTATTCATTTATTTTTAAACAGGTACAATTTGGGGGTAGGGGTGTAGGGAATTTTAGCATGACAATATCATGACTTAAACCTTGGTTATTATTAAAGTATTGGGTGGGTGCAACTAACAACTAGCCTATGAGGTCCAATGCTGCTCATCTTCTTATCTAAGACTTGGGAAAATCAAGGCAAGGACCATATCCCTTTCAAACATTTTAACCAAATTAGCAACTAGTACCCACTAACTTCAAAACCATAATCTGGGCTGCAAATCCTTACAATACCTCAGCATGCTGATTTTCTCATTTACCAAGGAGAAATCCATACCCTGAAAGTTGCAGTTAGCATTCCACCCCTTATAATCAAAAGAAGAAAGATGGGGTTCATAGTCAACTCAGTTAAACATATTAATCAGCTCGGCTACAGATCCTATTGTAGAAACCCCGCCTCTTTCAAGGAGTGAGAGAGCCAACTCACATTCATGCCATCCTTTCAATCCGCCAGCCAATGTCCTTAATGTCTCTGGTTTCACTTGTCGAATCCATGCTGGAGCACAGCTCACTATTAAACCTACTAAACAAGAGATATATGCCTTCCATGTAGCAGGGTCACAGCAGAGTGAAATGTTCCCTCTCAAAACCCTTGCCAAAAAGTCCATATGAATCCCAATAATCCGGCCACGTCTAGAGAATGAACATGATCTTGCTTTCTCCTCAACACCCCATACAAATGACCCAGAAAGCATTAACATATATGACATTGCATACCCTTCAAGTATACGTGCCACAGCACTTACCCTGCCAGGTTTCTCTTCCTTAGAAGAGAGAAACCAGGTAGGTACAGTCTCACAGTACAGTTCTTGGACCAGCTGAAACCCACCTGACGCACATAAAAGACTAGCACCCAGTGTGGCCACCTCCTTTGCCCTGACAGCGGCAAAGGACAGTGATGCTTGACCAGACTTTAGGAGAGGGGAATCTGAGCTTGTCCATCTTGCAGCTGATTCCTGCACATACTCCGATACCAGCCCTATAATCACATCATTCACACGCTGGATATCTGGCATCATCCTATAGGAGCGAAGGTAGAAGAATCCTGGTGCTAAGGATGGACAAACACCAGGAGTTAAAACCTGGCTCCCCAGTAAACCATTGATATTGTTTTGCTTGGTTGACAAAGAGTTCGAATTATGAAGAGATCCAAGGAATGAGGTGAAGCAGCTTCTCAATATCTGGGCAACAGCTTCTTTACTTTGCCGGAACACTGACCGCGAACATGATGCAACGATGAAGTGGTGCCAGCGTCGAACCTTCTGAGCCCAAAGAGAGCTGATTATGGTAGGCCAAGCATAACCTGATGCACAATTCTCCAGTGCTGGACCAATAACAGCATGAATATACTCCAGGCTCTTGGTGAGTTGGAAAGTAAGTGTTAGACTGACAAAAGCTGCAACTGGCAGTGGAAGCATTAGAGGAGAAGACCCTGCAGAAAATCGCTAAGATGTCTTTAGAAACAGAAAGACTAAAGAATCATTGAGCCTCGTTATCAGGAAAATAAGAGAACGCATGAGAGTGAGACTAGAGCATTTTGTTAGCTAAATGCCTTCTTGTACGTACGGTTACATTACATACTATACAGAATACATGGCATTTGATGTCGAAAATCACAAAAGCCTTAGTGTGCACTAAGTAGTATCAATGAATTGATTTTTATTTTGCAAACCTAAAACTAGTTTTTAGCATGTTAGAGATTTTAAAATGCAGGTCCGAAACATAAAAAATTCAAGAATGACATTTTATCTTTCTCCAGAAAATGAAAATATGGAAGAAAAAAGTTGTGCTTTCTATGATCTCTTTCTTGCCTTCTTTAACTTATATACATTTTATCAATCACCTACACCTAGTGCAGTTTCTGGAATAACAGTAATATTATTTATAAAACTAAGTCCAAGTTAACTTAAGTCTTCTATTAGTAACCAGAAGACCATGTAAACTAAATGGCAATACTTGATCAGTTGATCTTTGACTTGAGTCATAGAAAAATGCTTCCCCCTATGGTATTTGGATATGTGAGATTTATTTTTCTACACCTAATACGATGTAATTGTGATTAAATTTAGGCAATTCAAAAACCCATTAATATACTCAAATTTTCTTGTCTTTTAAACAAATAAACATCTACCTAGCTCAGATTCTATTTATTTATTTATTTTTATGGGAACTCTAATTCTAAGTGATTGTAAATATAAAGTAGAACTGACTCTAGAGAACAACTGGCAGCATATGTAGTTGCAAAATGAGGTTTCTTAGAATACCAGAGGAACAGATTGGAACATGAACACCAACAGAGGCGAGTATTTCCTTTATTTCAGACTCAACAGATGGAAGTGTGGCTGCTGGACTAGGCCAATCAATCCCATTCATTGGAACTGGTTTCCAAATACCACGAGTGACTTCTGCAGAGAGGTAACTGATAATGGCTGCAAGAGAAGCAGGCAAGAAATCCACAAGGTCCCTCAGGCCTGTTAGCATTCAAAATGTGGTTAGCTATAGGAACATTTGTTGCAAAAGAATCATTGTTTCATGGATGATATTTTGAAATGAGACTGTACCAGAAAGCTATATTGAGCAAGTAACCATGCAAGAATCCCACCTCCCAAAATGAAAAATGGAAAATATGCCTTTAAAACAAAACAGAAAGGAAAAATAGCCTTCTACTAACCTGTTGTCAGATCTTTTGAGGAAAGCCTTCCATGAGCACAAGCAGTTAAAATGGCCTCAAGAATAAAGGGAATGGCTTCTAATACCTCCCATGCAGGGAGCATAGGCATTTGGCCAGCATCTTCTCCACTCTTCACTGGGGACCCACAAACATTGCCACTTGATGGTGTCAAAGAATTACCAGATGAGGCTCCAGGCTTGGTTATTTTCAAGTAAATCATACCTAAAATCTTGTCAGCAACTTGATGAACAGGGTTTCTACCACACAGGCCAGGTAGTGTTGAAGCTATACATGATCTGTTTTGACAATACCAAGCTCGTAATTTTGGATAATAATCAATGTATATGGGTTTATCTGATGCCAATTCAAGCTGTTTCATACTATTACCCATTTCATCTTGTACACAAGAATTTTGT